TCAGTCTGTCCTCTGTGATCCTCAATCTTTTCTCTGTGTCCTTCAGTCTGTCCTCTGTGTCCCTCAGTCTGTCCTCTGAGTCCCTCAGTCTGTCCTCTGTGATCCTCAATCTTTTCTCTGTGTCCTTAAGTCTGTCCTCTGTGCCGTTAAGTCTGTCCTCTGAGTCCCTCAGTCTGTCCTCTGTGATCCTCAATCTTTCCTCTGTGTCCTTAAGTCTGTCCTCTGTGTCCTTCAGCCTGTCCTCTGTGTCCCTCAGGGTCACGGTGTTTAAAGGGTTAACTCTTCACACTGAGGCATGATGGGACAAATGTCTTCATCTGTGTCCGTCTGATTCTGTCCAGTCCATTAGCTGTCTGTCTCTGAGGCGTCTCCTCTGGTCCTCATCCTTCGTCCTGACGCCAGGCGATGAACGTCATTAAAGAGTTAATTGAGGCTGTGATGAGCTGCCGGAGCGTTCACTGTCAGTGGGACACTTTAATTACTGCCTCTGTCCTCTTTCATTAGTGTCTCTGTCCATCAGACTGACGGAGACACAAGACAGTTTCACCAAACACTGTCCAGATGAGATGAAATGGCGTCTTTGCTGATGGACACAGTCCACGTGTGCAGGTGGTAAAGTATGTCAATGAGAAGCGGAGGACCTCAGTGTCTCCTGAGGACACACTCGTGTCCCCTGCAGGTATCTGACACACAGAAATTCTCAAGGTCTTCACAGAAAACATGATGAAAGAGACACTTTATAAAGGACATTTGAAATAAAGAACCAGAGGACAGAAAATAAAAAGTTAAAATAAACTGAGACAGATTTAAAATCCAAGAATCAAAGTTCCAGTTTAAATATTCAAAGTAATAAAAGTCTTCAGCTTTGATTTAAAGGAGAATAAAAACTAAACGCTGCTTCTCCATGTGATTGTCTCCATGGTGGTGTTGAAGTTCACAAAGCCTCCTCGTACAGAGTTTCCCCTCAAAGTTAAGACTTAAAGTTAAGACTAAAGGTTAAAACCTAAAGTTAAAACTTAACATTAAGACTTAAAGTTAAGACTTAAAGTTAAAACCTAAAGTTAAAACTTAACATTATGACTTAAAGTTAAGACTTACTTAAAGTTAAAACCTAAAGTTAAAACTTAACATTAAGACTTAAAGTTAAGACTTAAAAATAAAACTCAAAGTTAAGACTCAAAGTTAAAACCTAAAGTTAAAACTTAACATTATGACTCAAAGTTAAGACTTAAAGTTAAGACTCGGCCCTGGTAAAGATAAAAGTTATTCTCAAATGATTTTAGACCTTAAAGAGCTCGTGAGGTGAAACCAGTCGGAGCAGGAGGAGGAGTTTAAGAGTTTCTGAGTCAGAGGAGAAAATGGTGGACAGAGAAATATTCTGCAAACACTGGATGACAGAGGGTTAATGAGACGCTACAGATCAGGTGTTGCAGGCAGGATATGTGTGGATGATGTCATTAAAGATACACACACACATTTTTCAGCCAACACAATAACGATATAACGTCAGAAATAAAACGATCATAACGCTGATGAATATTTAAGGCTACGTATCTTTTTGGATCAAACGGAGACGTCCTGTCACAGACTCAGCTAACTCTGCTGCAGCTGAAGTTAAACGTGTCAGAGATCATTACAGTGATTCTGCTCACATCTGACGTCACCACCTCACCGTCTGTGTCCACAGTTTCCTGTCTCCAAACCGTGCATACGTGTGGGTCAGAGTTTCCCTAAAGTCACACACGTGTCCTCATCAAGTTTTTTTTTTGTCAATAAATCACAATTTATGCTGACAAAATGGTGTCTGCACATGTCACGCCCTTTTCACTGTGGTGATGTCATGAAACCCCAGGACTCATGATATCACCACAGCTCTGAAGGTTCACTGACTGCAGGAAAGATGGACGTCGTAGTTAAAATAAAGTCAGTCTGTGTGAACTGAGATGTGTTTGTTTTCTGCGTCGTCGTGTTTCTGTCGACAGTCATCTGCAGGTCTGAGTTTTATCCTGCTGAGACAAAACAGATCAGATTAAAACCCGAGATGAAGAGTTCTGATTGGATGAGAGCTGACCTGAGTTCAGTCTGTGTGCAGCTGCTGTGACGCCTTCACTGTCAGTAGGACTGAATATAAAAGAGATTTATAGGAGTGAAGTGTGAGGACGGAGAGAAACAGACGGCTGCTCTGCAGTCACACGCTCCGAGCTGAAGCAGCTTCATCACTTCACTCTGTCTGAACCTCAGGTCAGTTTCATTTTCAATAACTTTATCAAATCTGCACTTTGTCTTCCTCTGACGGGCGAGTTGTGTTCACTGTCTCTCAGGTTGCGTTCACAGACTCTCAGGTTGCGTGCACTGACTCTCAGGTTGCGTTCACTGACTCTCAGGTTGTGTGCACTGACTCTCAGGTTGCGTTCACTGACTCTCAGGTTGTGTTCACTGACTCTCAGGTTGTGTGCACTGACTCTCAGGTTGCGTTCACTGACTCTCAGGTTGCGTTCACTGACTCTCAGGTTGCGTGCACTGACTCTCAGGTTGCGTTCACTGACTCTCAGGTTGCGTTCACTGACTCTCAGGTTGCGTGCACTGACTCTCAGGTTGCGTTCACTGACTCTCAGGTTGCGTTCACTGACTCTCAGGTTGCGTTCACTGACTCTCTCATTGAGTCTGAGTCTGACTGAGTCTGAGTCTGACTGAGTCTGACTGAGTCTGTCTGAGTCTGTCTGAGTCTGACTGAGTCTGAGTCTGACTGAGTCTGACTGAGTCTGACTGAGTCTGACTGAGAGGGGTTTATCACAAGATACAACATTATCATTTAATATTTAAAATCATGCTTTTAATTCAGCAACCATAATAATGATAATGATTCAACTCCTCCTCCTCCTGCTCCTCCTCGTCCTCCTTCTGCTCCTCCTCCTTCTCCTCCTCGTCCTCCTTCTGCTCCTCCTCCTTCTCCTCCTCGTCCTCCTCCTCCTTCTCCTCCTGCACCTCCTCGTCCTCCTTTTGCTCCTCCTCCTTCTCCTCCTTCTCCTGCTCCTTCTCCTCCTGCTCCTCCTCGTCCTCCTTCTGCTACTCCTCCTCCTCCTGCTCCTTCTCCTCCTGCTCCTCCTTGTCCTCTTCCTCCTCCTGCTCCTCCTTGTCCTCCTCCTGCTCCTCATCCTCCTGCTCCTCCTTCTCCTCCTCCTCCTGCTCCTTCTCCTCCTGCTCCTCCTCTGTGTAACAGGAGTCAGATATATTTGTGCTGAGTTCTGTCTGACTGGTGTTTGACCTTTGACCTCCTGCAGCTGCTCGGCAGCAGACGGACTCAGAGGTCAAAGGTCAAACAAAGTCTCACACTGACCTCAGAGCAGTGAGGAGACGTCCTGCAGTCTCAGGGGACAGACGGAGACTCGCAGTAGTTGATGCAACAGGTGGACGAGGACGTGACAGCAGGCTTTAACCCCGCCTCCCAGTGTTGGTGCAGCCGTCTGATTGGCTGAGAGCCGTCACAGCGTCTGTGTGTGAAGCTATGTGACAGCGACACTTTGTGTTGGAGTGATCTCCGTCACTGAACGAGTCGCCAGGTCAGAGGGACGAGTGTAAATCTGCACGAGTCTTTACAGACGCTGACGGCTTTATGTCCTGCTGTGTGTGTGTGTGTGTGTGTGTGTGTGTGAGAGCAGCTGGTTGTCCCACAGAGTCTTTGTGATGAAGATGAGCTGTTTGTGTTGGAGGATGAAGGAGCAGCTGGTGGTTTAGAGCAGAGTTAAAGGTGTGTGTGATCGTTCCTCCTGCTCAGGGCCCAGAGCCTTCGTAGCACTACATGCATCTTAAGTGTTAACTTAAGGTCTCCCTTAAGCCTGAGGCTGTTTCCTTAGTGAAGATCTGTCCTCTGACAGGTAGATCTTAAGAAGTCTGAATCACTCGTCAGTTGTCCCTTAGTGATGCGCTCCGTTCATCCTGTCACAGTCTGAGCTCTATGAGGCCAAAATTATGCTTTTGAAATTCAATTCAATTCAATTCAATTCAATTCAATTCAATTCAATTTTATTTATAAAGCCCAATATCACAAATCACAATTTGCCTCACAGGGCTTTACAGCATACGACATCCCTCTGTCCTTATGACCCTCACAGCTGATCAGGAAAAACTCCCCAAAAAAAACCCTTTAACGGGGAAAAAAAAACGGTAGAAACCTCAGGAAGAGCAACTGAGGAGGGATCCCTCTTCCAGGACGGACAGACGTGCAATAGATGTCGTACAGAACAGATCAGCATAATAAATTAACAGTAATCCGTATGACACAATGAGACAGAGAGAGAGA